CATTTATGTTTCGTAACGTCGTATATCAACCTCGTAAAATCTTTTATCCAACAATAGTGATGCTTGTCACCTTTAGAAATCAAAAGCAGATCGATCTCTTTCCCCTTGTAGTTTTTAGACACGTATAATGGATATATCTCACCCTCATAACCATATACGTTTATCGATAAATTATTTTGTCTTTCTATCTTGGCTATCTGATCGAGTGGTGTCGGAAAGTCAACACCTTTAAAACTGAGTCCGTCGTCTTTGGTGTATACAACAGGTTCTTCTTTATGAATTTTATAATTAGGATTATTTCTTATTTGATTTTTTACTTTATCCGCATACAACTCAAGAGCAGCTCTCAAACACCATCTCAAACACTCGTCGTCTTTGTTTTTGATGTTGATCATCGCCTTCTTAATTTTAAGATATTCGGGTAGGTCTATGTAGGAACTACCTCTCACTGGATTATATCTGTTGATGTTGATGTATAACACCATTATCTTTTTTAAAACCCAACCCGATCCTTGATTCGTATACCTTTCATCCTTTTTGAATAGCTCTTCGATCTCTTCTCTTAAAGCCTGTTTTATTTGACTTTGATTTAAAACGGCTTTTGGCTTGCTATAGTGAATAGCTTCGATCGTTTCGATCGTACCATCCGGTTTGGTTTTTTCATATTTTATTTTGATTGTGAGCTCCATTTTTAAACCTCTCAGCTCTCTCAATTCAGACTTGATTTTATTGACTATTTGTTCCTTGTGCGAATCAAAAAACTTGATTAAATCGTGGTTATAAAGTCTGGGGTTTAATTCCCAGTTTCTGTAGTAATTTCTAAACCTTCTCGTTTCTCTAAAAGCTGACTCTGTAAAGTATTCGGGTTGTCTGTATGTTTTAATCGCCGAGATTAAATCTTTTTTCAAAACTCGTCCTTTATAACCCGTCGGTACGTATTCTAGATTGTGTTCGTCTACAATCTGTTTGAGCTCATGTAGTGTCTTTTTCCTCAAGTTTTTAAATTGACTTTCATAATGTTTTATCCCCTCGATGTAAACTTTACGAGTAAGAGAAACATTTTCATTGTGTGGTATACTATACCGCTGCACGTAATCACGCAGTGTGGCTTTGTTCCATTTAGAATATCCTTTGATGGTCGGTCTAAACATATTACCCTCCATTTATTATAGGAAATATAATATTTTTTCTTCATTTTTTTTTGAGGTTAGACTTTTAGATTTATAAATAATTAGACTCCCCTCATTTTAGCGACGACAGATTTTTCTTTCTCTCACTCTCTCTCCGTTAGATTTATTTTTTTTTTTATTTTTTTTTTCTTGAGATCGGGGGATTTCCCATTGGCCCTGTACTACCCACAGACCTATGACAAAGTCTGGTACCCTGACTTCTCATTAATGGCCCTGTACTACCCACAGACCTATGACAAAGTCCAGCACCCCCGCCTCCCTTACTACTGGGGGGGCCGTTCGGAGGTTCCAAATTCGAAATGTGGGGGAACCTCATTGGATGCTAGGGCGCTTCCCGGCCCCCATTATCTTTGTGACTAATAACACCACTATTAAGACGCATAACACTAAGGCATTAGCAATCATGCGTTAGGGGACGGAGAGGCAATTAGTTCCATAATTGCATACGCGGAGGAGCCAAAAACCTCATCACTCGATAGTGTGAGATAAGTTTCTTTTTTGTTTCAAGTATTTTTCCGTTTGATTGCTCATCGGTGTCTTCTTGCTAATTAGCATCTGTATATTTGAACTTGTTCAACCATTCATTTCTGCTTCTGTCGTGGTTAAAAGATTGGTATTAACTCACACGGGCAATGCAATTCAACTTTTTTTCACCTACGCCATACCACAAAAGGGACCATTGCTAATTATTGTGGTGTCATATTACACACAGTCGACGGATTCAAGTACATTGCCATGAGGAGAAAGGGGAAAATATCGCTCCAAAGCAGCTGGATAACTTCTCATTATCAATGAAGTTTTCTTGTTTTTTGGTCTCGTGTTTTATCCCGAACAAAATATATAACGTATTTGTCTTGTTATTTTTGTATTTCTATGGTTGTATTTCTTTGTATTTCTGTTCTGTACATGTATATATATTTTGTCTGTTCTTGTGTTTGTGCTATTGGGGTCGAATAAATAATAATAATAATTATTATTGTTACCCTGGATTGGACATTTGGGAGACATTCCCATAATCTTGTGCACAACATTTTTCAAACTTAAATGTGCCCTAACACATTATTCCCTTGTCCTTTTACCACGAATTTTGGTATGTTTACTAATTAGACCACGAGCAACAAACATAATCCAATTGCGCCTCTAAAGGGGGGGGGGGGGACTGTGACATTAGGGAGACATGAACATGTCTCCCTAATGATCGGTGTCTCCCACCGTTCGAGGAAATTACGATACCGTGTCTCCTTCATGGTACCTTTACACGTATAATAATAATAATAAATCCTATTTATATTCTAGCAAAACCAGAGTTTTTCACTTGAAATGAGCCAATTAACAAAATTGGCCTATTTATAGTTGTGGAATAATTATTAACGCCCATAAGGGAATGCGGTGGGGCAGTACTGAACGTCTGGTTTAAAAACCCATTTGCCACTGCAGGTGAAACAAAATACTCTCTGATTGTATTTATTCCATTCCCAAATTGAACAAAGAATTTTACTGGGCGGGGTTTGAATGGGCGACCTCGGGATTGCCGTTCCGGTGCTCTACCAACTGACCTATCCAGCCCTATGTTAAGCCCTCGCTTTACACGCGATCTATTATAGCCGAGCAAAAAGTCATTTATGGCAGTCTGCTTATTAGCACGTAGGCCCTATAGCTCACTGGTCACCGTGTGCGGTCAATTTTTACTGAGTTTTCTGCCTCACAAGTCACCGTGGCCGTGAGGCACACATCTGTCCAATTTTTTTTTTTCGCCTTGCAAGGCGAATATCTCGCCGGCCGTGGGCGGGCATCCTATACGTCTGAGCCACAAAAATTAACTAGCCAATGTTGAAAGCGCATACTCTGTTCACGTGATTTCAAGATGGCGGCCCCCGACGAAAGTGTCCGCGACGTTGTCAGCAACTATTTTATAGAGGACAAGCTGGATGATTTGTGATCAGATCATCCTTGTTTGTCGGTCGCATGATTTCAAAATAGGGACAAACGTCTGGCAAGCTTTTAATTGCAAAACAACTGGACCAGATGTTTATAGCTACATACCGATCATTGTTAGACTACATCATGTATATACGGTTGGCCAACCATTGATTCAAGTATAATCTGGCCACTACCAGGGGGACACATTTTCCGTTGGGCAGAGGGACAAAATTACCTGGAGGGGGACAGACTTTACCAAGGGGGGGGGGGGGGAGGGAAGGGGGACACAGAATTACCGTCCACGCATGGGGGGGGGTTCATCAGCAAATCAGTGCTGAAAATAATGTAGACATCTTTTTTCTCCGGACACTTGGCCTCAGTAAATTCAATAGGTGGGGGTTGGGGTGGGGTGGGGGAGGGGGGGGGGGTGGGGGGCTCGTACCATACTTTCAGCGGGAGAGCTGTTTAAATCCGACAATCATGAACACTATATTACAGAATAGTGTACAAATACCTCCGTACCTCCAGCTTTCTCAGGCCGAATGTTGTGCACAGGCGGACATTATTTTTACCGGTGTGATTGTCATCAATTTGTTTGGGTGTCAGAGCAGGGATCGGAGGGGGGGGGGGGGGTTCACATTATTTGTAATATATTTCTATAAAAAAATGGAGTCAGAGCTGGGGGGGTTCGACCACCAAAAACCACCCGATCCACGCCTGTAACGACAATCGGGGAGGTCTCAGTCTCAAACCTCGCTCCAGTCAATTTTATTGTTCAACTTTGAGAAAAAATATCATATTATTAGATCAATGGGCCGCCAGACCCCAAAACCGGTTTGAAACGTTTAACGTTTATGACTGCTCCATCACACTATCAATATATCAACCAATCAAACTATCAGAGCAAAATGTATTTCGCCACGGCTGCACATTACACAATCTCATCAATGGTGATTATGGTTCAATTTCAATCTGCAGTACAATTAATTGGTGTCGAGAGTCAGTTGACGACTTGTTACTTCGGTCGGCCACCGGAGCCACTTCCTGGTGAACATTGGATGCAAGCAGACGCTCGAGAAATACGCAAACGATGCCCAGGGACACGAAACTCGACTGGTAAGGATCACAGCTTCAAAAGCATTTTGTTGTGAATATCAATGAAGTCACTTTTCAAAATAGTTACTTTATTGATATTATATTTAATATATCTACTTTATTTTTTATCTACTTTATTGTTTTTCAATAATTATCATTCAGAAATGTTAAGAATTTTGTATTCTCCCGAATAGTTGATTTAGCTCAATTTTTATTTAGCAATTGATTACCTTAATTATTAGATTCATTGTCTTCATTATGAATTGAACCTACGTTATGGGACTTCCATGCCTTGCCTCTTTCTGTGAACAACCTTTCTCAAGAATATGCCATGATTCAGCGAAGCTTTCTTTAACATTTTCAAATTTTGTTTTAATTTATTTATTTTCTGATTAGTTTTGACGTCCGCAGTATGGATCTTTTATATTAACTCCCCCTTATCAAAAATAAAACAAGTCTGAGCCCCCACCGCCCCTTTATCCCAATGGGAACGAAGTCACAAAGTGGTGCAGCGCACATTTCTAATGATTGTAAAATTTCTTAGGGGTTTCAAAAACCTTTTGTTTCGGGTTTCGCTTAAAGATATTTAAAGCCCTGAGCGTTGGGAATCCGGCTAATAATACGAACACGATGTGCCTATAAGGGAACATCAAAGCCGTTTAAATACGAAACTAAATTTAGAGTTATTTCTGAATTGCTTCTCAATCATTTAGAAGTCAGCGATGGAGCCGAAGCCACAGTTGAGGTCGAGATTTCGTCAACACCCTCTGCTCCCCGATATTCTGACTGCAGTGACATCGTGGACAGCGGGATGTCTAGGCTGGGTGTCTACACTATCTACCCACCGCAATATCCAAACGGCTTGACCGTTTACTGCAGGGGGCAATGGATAGTAAGTTTCTTCGCTTTATCTCATCCTTATCCGGTTCGTTAGTGTGACGTCATCTCAATTTAACCATGCGTACTTCACACGGTGTAGCATAGCCTTACCAAATCAAAGATATCTTTGGTTTGCAACGTTGGATTTTCTTGATTTTTTTAAACCAATTATAAACAAGACCACAGGCTTGAAAATGTTATAAAATTTAATTAGCTAGTCCTTACCAACTTTTGAGAAAATCAGCGATTTCTTTATGCACAATGTTTATCGGGACACCCTGTATAGCACGTGTTTTATGCATGCGCGTGTATGACGAAGTCACCAACAATCGAATACATGCAGTTCCGACATGAAATCAACAGTCAGGCCCGTTCCCTCAGAGTCGGCGGTTCGTCAACCCCCAAAATGGAACTGTTCATGTCAACTTTAAACATATATCGTGCTAATGCATGTATGCGAGTTGTACATGTGTATACGCTTATCCCACTGACGATGGATCTTTGGTGTACACAGATGGCGTCGTAGTGATATTTTGGAACATTATGGGAAACAAAGTAAACATGTAACTAAACAAAAAGCAGGAAAATGCGGAACTCGTCACCGAATGGGGAGGATTAATTCAAATCCCTCCTCTGGCCCAGCCCCCTCCTTCAATAACACTGACCTGCACTTTAAACACCTGTTGTGTTTAATCAGCACTTCGCGGAATTAAACCGATCGTCTTATATCAATGTGTTAAAATTGTCAAGGAAGCAGGCGCGGATCAAGGGGGGGGGGGGACCCCAGCTCCCTCAATTTTTTCCATGGAAGTTTATGACAAAAAAATGCCAACCCCTCCCCCTGCTCTGACACCCAATCATGTTTTATTGGTAAACATTTCTGCCTTTGCACAAAATACGGACAGAGCCAGCTTGGCTAGGGGGTATATGTACACTATTGTGTGATATAGTGTTAATAATCGTTGGATTTAAACAGCGCCCCCATGAAAGTATGGTACGAACCACCCCCTCCCCCCACTACCAAACCTATTGATTTTCCATTTGGTAACTTCGTTCTTTGCTGACTCATTCTAGGTGATTCAGAATCGTAAACGCGGGTCGGTCAATTTCACCCGTAGCTGGGCCGAGTACCGAGACGGCTTCGGTGATCTGACGGGGGAGTTCTGGCTGGGCAACGAGGTAGTCCGCCAGCTGACCTCGGAAGGCACTTGGAAACTACAGATTATAGTGGAAGAAGCAAAAGGCTTAAAGAGAATAACCTGGACGCAGTTCAAGATCACAGGTGACAACTACACACTACATGTGGATCCATTGCAACCAGGGGATCTTCATTACTCAAAAGGTATCAACTAGTCTTCTTTCTAAACAAATATGCTACTGTTCATATACAATTCATAAAAGCCCTCAAGAAATGTAATATTCGTTTTGAATTGACACTGTTAAGAACACAGTAATATGCGAACTTTTACCCTTTGATACTCGTTGTCGTAATAGCCTCCTTTATGAAACAATTTCAAAGTAGTTTTGTCCATTATGCCAGTTTTGTCGCCATGATTGCAAACACAAAAGTCGTGCTTTGTTTACATTGTGTCATTGAAGGGAAAACAAAGAATTGAAATCACGAAATTTAATTTATACAATGCATAAAAAGTACACGGTGCACGAAACCTCACGTAGCAGGTCAACATTACCTTTTCCAAAAATTGCATCACCAAGCATTGAATGCGTGTTATTGTTTCACCCCAAGTCTTTATTTTCCTGTCAATTTATGCGTAAATAAAGCGTGATACTTTTTCACGCAGACTGTGTTGACAAAGCTTATTCTATTTTGGCTAGGAATCTACTTGATTTTCAACGAGTAAAAAGTCACGATGTAGTTTTTTTGGTGGTCTTTGATAGATACCTGTGAAATATGCCTGTAAAATATGTCAGAGATGTCCCTTTAAAATTCCTTTACACCTCTTCGTCGCCTAAAATTTCAAAAGATGATACTTCTTTTAAGGTGGAGTTTACCTGATAAAGGCACGTTTTGTTACATCGGTTTGGTATCGGCTAGTCGACACACTGATGGTTGGTGGTTGAACGTTTGTACAGTTAATTTAAGCTAGAAGTCATTCGAATGTACTCAGAGGAAGCTTTTTTGTCTTACACATGTTCAGTGGAATAGCACATTGCTTTTCCAACAATCTCAGCATTTGGTATCATTTTCATCCGTTTGCTAGGAAAGTCTCTCACTGACGTTTCCTTAGGCCAGCCGTTCTCAACCTACGATCGCAACAATGACGCCGATGGCAACGCCAATTGTGCCGCTCAGCTGAAGGGAGGCTGGTGGTTCAAGACTTGTACTGGAGGAGTCGGGAATGTGGATCTCGTGCCGACTAACCTGAATGGGGAGTATTCCTATCCCGTCAACTACACGGGGCAAGATTACCGCGGTATGAGGTGGGCTGGTGCGCTTGAGTTTGGTGACCAAATACTATCTTGCCGCATCGCGATTTGTACTTGTACGGTTTAATTTTCATGGTCTAACCCTGTATTTCGGTTTTGGTAAGATTAAAAAGAGCGTTGGTTTGGTAAGAAGTGAACTGGTTCGATATTACTGAAAACTGGGTGTTACATGGTAGTGTCTTTGAAAAAGATTTACTGATGAAGGAAAAACCAAAGAATCGAATTTTAGAATCCAGAGTTTGAGTCGTCTTTAGTACTGCACGTATTACATGTAATAATAAAATCGAGACATACGTCTTTTGCGTAAGTTTTGCGGATTACTAATAGCACAAACAAACGATGCTTGCTTTTTGTCTCTCTTTTTCATTGAAAAAGTTATTGTTGCAAATTTGTGTTATGCCATACGTTTATCAACTTCTACGTTTATCAACTACCCTTAAAATTCCTTCAGGAAATTTGTGATAGAAATCTAGCGACGTGCTATTGCAAGGTGTGTGCTGGTGGTTTTTAGATAATAGTGAATGCTGTATCAGCATCCATACTCCAACCGGTCTTAAACATGGTGTTTCATAGCGGTCAAGCACATATTTATCCCCGTTCATAAATACCTTTTCGGTACAAAAAAATCAAAACTGTCAGTTAAAAAGTCAAAACAAGTCAATTTTTGTTTAATTTTCCAACAATTTTACTCAACAATTTCACTTCATTGTTTTTTTTTTCGAAACACCCATCTCGCTTATGTGCTTTGGTATGGCCCTTTCGCGAGTAACCGTAAAAAACTCCTTATCGGCGCAGAACGCAGCTGTTCCGGTGTAGTGTGAATTTAAGACTATGAAACAATATTGCGCATACCTAAGTGAGGATTGTGAACGTTTAACCAACACAACGGTACTGGAATGCACCGGATTTCATGTAGTAGTCCAATTTTCATGTTTCACTGGAAAAGTGTTTTAGGACCTGCCAGCCGGTTTTTATCGACCGTTAAACCGGCCACGTGACTGGCTCTCGACCAATAGGAATGGGTAAACTGTCTTAGGTATTTATGAATATTGTATAGTAAAATGTGGGTGTTTCTTGTGAAAGTGTTATTCTATGTAGTTCAATATTTCACATATGTCATCTAATTCTTCTTTTCAATATACTTATAAATTATGAGTTACGTGTACATCAGATATCCTTGTCGATAAGAAGTAAAAACAGAAACAATCAGCACTTATTCACAATTATCTAGGTTTGGTTTCAAACCTTAATTGGCTACAAATGTTTACGCAAAAACACACAGATTAATTTCCAAGCACACTACACGTTAGAGGCAAGAAAGCACGAGACGGGGGGCCAGTTACAGACAATAGACACTGGTTACCTTTGGCTGGTTACCGGACCTTAATATCATTCTTTTCTTTGCTCAGCACATTCTGCACTAGGTAGCTATAATACAGTAGTTAACACTCTTTATTTGTTTCTTGTGAGGGCGCACTTGTGCACGGAGTCTATAGACCAACTAAATTCGTTTCCGGTATATTTCATTATATTTCATTGCCCTTTAAGGGTGGGAAATCATGCCGGAATAGTTTAACACAATACAGCTGTTTAAGCTATACATCTGAATACTACTAATATACAAAGGAATGATTATTATGTATTATGTTGTAAATAATATGGTTGACCAATTTGTGAGCCATTAACTACAATGCATACGGATAGGTGTGTAGAAAACCTTTAAGATATAGAAAGATTGAACAACGTTTACAATATATTAACACTGTTAATAAGTCAGTTTCACAGTGTTTTAGATAATTCAAACGCTGTAGCAAGTGGTAGATGTAATTAGATGTAATAGATGTTATTTACGTTACGCTGTGATTTCAGTGTTTCAAAAATTGAATTTAGTTTCATTCTCGTTCCATTCAAATTTAGTCTGGGTTATCTTATTGTTTTGTGGGTACGGTCATTTTGATCGATCGATTTTGATTCAACCTTTCACATACATATTATAACCACACACACTTAAATATGTAGATAGAAGGTACAATATACTACTGATATTGTTAAGAAAATATAGTCAGTCAAACTATGTCGCTTTTGGTGAGTAGCATTTTAACAATGCTTACCAAGGATGTAATGTACTAAACAGTATCTTTTTGAATATAGGTTTTCCCGGTTATTTTAATACTTGTATCACACGAATTCCCTATATAGATACTTTAATTTCGTCCCTGAACATCGCCAAGCTCACTTCTTAATTTGAACTTCAAAAAGCCACCACTATATTTCATTTAAGGTTCAGTATAATTCAATTTTTTAGCATATCGATTCGTCCAAAATCTTTGAAATTCGTCTCGTGTAGCAATTTGCGTTGAATTGACAAAGCAAATTCGTTTTATGTCATTCGTTTTAATGTTGCTGTCATTACCTTTCGTTTCTAGTGAATTAAAACGTTACGATTAGAAAATGTGTCCTATCTTTGGACTTATTTGAAGAAGTGTACGCATTACTAAAATTATAATTTCAACATATATTTCCTTATATGAGTAAATAAAAGTAGTCAAACTATAATTTTATAATCTTTTTTTCTGTGTTTCACAATTAACATTAGAATCAGGACTATACCTTTCACATTAATGTTCTTTACTTATGACATGAAAATTAAGCATTAAGATCAAACACCTTCGTTGTTGCTCTTTGATATACAAACCTAACTTCTGTGGTTTTACGCATTATATAATTATATAGGGGAAAAGGAAAATGTAATGTTTTTTTTATTTTATCAGTATTTGCATTGTAACACGAAACTGAGAAATGTGACATTAAACGTTAGCTTCATAATGTCATTTTTTAGCCTTTAATCTCCTCTCTGGCCATGCATCTTGGTAGGTACGTCTGGGAGTGATTGTACCATCTCTGGCACTTGTCGGGTGTTATCTCATCCACATTCTGCTGAGCTGCTTCCACCAGTAGGCGTGCTCTCCATCCCTGAATGGTCAAGCCTTCTCTCGCAGCAGCCTGGTGGTCAGATACCCTTGCTTGCCATTCGGGAAATCCTATGAGTCTTTTTACACCAGCTTTGAAGCAGGAGTGTGCATTTTCAACAGGGTTGAGAAATGGGGAGTATGGGGGAAGTCGCTTCAGTTCAATGTTCTCATTCCCTGGTGGCAGTTCAGCACAAACATGAGGCCTTGCGTTGTCGTAGATGAAGTACAAGTTCTCTTCTTGTGGAAACATTTCCTGGCAGGCTTCAGCTGTTTCCTGCAGGAAGTTTTCAAATGACGCACGTGTTGTGGTGTGCAAGTTTATGGCATGATGGACAAGTCCGACTTCAGGAGATATGGCAAATGTAACGTTGCAGTTGTTTCCACGTTGGTTGTGCACCACTCTGCGAACAGGTTGTCCTCTAACTGCTCTCCCATATGAACGTCGCGTCCAAATGTTGTATCCGCATTCATCGATGAAGATACAGTGACCAACGACGCCATGTCTTAAGAACCAGTTGGCATATTCTTGCCGCTGTCGGATCACTCTGTCAGCATTGCGGGCTTCGGGTACATCCTGAGCTAGCTTGAGCGTGATCAACATGCCGTCTATAGTCCGCGCTAATGTACTTATTGCAATACGTAGCTTGTCAGGCAGCCTTTGTCGAAGTCCTTCATTTAGTTGGCCCAAGGTTAACAAGGGGTTTTCATCTAGTAACTGTTGAAGGCAATCCTTCATTTCTTGATCCGTTTTTGAACGTCTTCTCCCTCCTCTTGGTAGAGCATCTCTTCTGTTCTCACGAAGGTATGTTAAGACGATGCTGCGAGCAGTTTGGCGCTTCACGCCAAGGGTGTCAGCAACGGTCAGATAGTCGTGTTCATCTCCTTCGAAGGCGTCTATGATGCGACTTCTGTCTGCGTTTGAAACCTTATTGTATCGGCCTCTTTGAAGCCCTCCATTGGCAGCCATCTTTTTTCCCCGACCGAGTCTCAACAACGAGTGACAAGACAAATCAGAAATACCCCGAAATTTATAGGCCTCCATGGTCTAGAAAATGCGGAGAATGCACGATCAGAATTTAAATGACCAAAACGTTAAAGTTAATGACAAAAAACGAATTTGCTTTGTCAATTCAACGCCGATTGCTACACGAGACGAATTTCAAAAATTTAGGACGAATCGGTATGCTGAAAATGTGAATTATACTGAACCTTAAATGAAATCTAGTGGTGGCTTTTTGAAATTCAAATTGAGAAGTGAGCTTGGCGATGTTCGGGGACGAAATTAAAGTATCCATATAGGGAATTCTTGTGATACAAGTATTAAAATAACCGGGAAAACCTATAATAAATGTCATCAATAAAAAACGCGTGCGGCCATATTGTGAGATTTGTCGACAAGGCAGTGGCTGGCCGGTCATAGGCCACTCAATCTTGATCAGTGGTCCCCCCCCCCTCCATGGGCGTCGCGAGGGGGGACAAGGGGGCACTTGCACCCCCCTCCGAAAAGCAAAAAAACACACACACAAAAAGGAGGAGGGAAAAGGGAGAAAAAGAAATTGCTAATATTGAAAGGGTGGGGAGGCGGGGAAATGTCCCTGCCCACCCTCGAAAAATGATAAATCGAGAATATGATGGAATTAAGTACAGGGATTTCGGGGGGATGTGCTTTGCCCCCCTCTACAAAAATCCTGGCGACGCCCATGCCCCCCGTCCTCAAGCGACATGTGTCTGACTTTTTTTATAAGGCATGTAGCACTCAAGCTCAACAATGGATACAAAATGGCTCTGAAACAAAGTTCTTGTCTTGTCTTGCCTTGCTCACTCGATTTTAAGTGTTCAGTTTCTAACTGACTAATTTTCTACGTAGCGCTTTTTTTTCCTTCTTCGCCAGATGATATACACAATGAGACCAAGAAAGCCGGCAGCCCTATAGCAATGGCTACAACAATGGCTTGACCACTGTCACTTAGTTGGTGTCGTGAACCAAACGGTCGTTTTGTGTTGATCACCCCGTGTCGATCACCCCGTGTTGTACGTCTACTGTCACCAGTTGTCGTGCACCGTCACGCCCATTATTGTTTGAACCATCTGTGTCGCAAGGTTCGTGGTAGTTGCTTATGTTGTGAGCTCAAAGGCTGCCCAACTATTTGAAAAAAAAATGGAATTTTGAAGCTTCAAGTATGTAGTCACAATTTCTATTGATTTCAATTATTTTCAAGCAAATGCCTTGACACAGTCTTTGCGATTTCTTAATTTATCACTATCAATATGAATGATTTTTTTCCACATTTGAATCAATTAAACTGCTATCATATACAGCCTCTTTTACAAATTAACGCCATGCCCACAAAATGGGGGAATAAACAGATGTTAAAATGTTAGAATATCTTATCTTATACGTTTATTTCAGAGCATACAAAAAAGAAGGAAAATGGATGCTAAATACAGTTTTTTTATGAGGTTTTTTTTTTAATGGCAAGATCCAAGATTGGATCACATCTTGATTTTAGCCCTATTCATGCTTTTTAATTACCAAGAATGCACGATCTTTCGCTTAGCAGCTCCACTATTGCAGAACTGCGTTATTTTCGTTTCACGTATTATCAGTAAACATGTCTGCTGCCACCTGTCGATGGGCGGAGAG